TTGACTCTCATTTGACCCTACTTGGGCGGTGGAATATGCCACGTGTTAATCTGTCCCTCTCACATATGTATGTGATTGAAACAATTGATGCTTACATTTCTAATCTTTATACGTTTAATTAATTGTTGGCAATTATTTATAGAAGAAAAAGAAAGAAGATGAATCGTGATAGAAAAGAATCCAAACAAGTAAAAGAATAAGATAAGATTCCCCCTCCGGCAAAAAATCATAAGAAACTTGTTGATCATGTTTAGAATAATTTTTTTGATCGATATGTGTTCTCTTGTTTGTTCTAGAATAAAAAATGATAGAAATGATTACTTTTGTATAATAGGCAAAATTTTAATTTATTGTAGGAGAAAAAGATTGCTTTCCTGTTAGAGAGAGAGAGAGAGAGAGAGAGACTGTTTTCCATTGGTGATATCTACTAAACGAGACCTTACGAGAACTAAACATTTTAATTATGAAGTTCAGAGTTTTAATTTTAAAAAATACATAAAAAACTTGCTTTTAAAGATATTTTATACTTTTTTTCGTAGATATCAAAGTCTGATGGGCTCATTTTTCTGTTCTCATATGGTTTGTAATCAATGTCATTCAACTTTTTGTAATAAAAAGAGGAATATACAACAAAACAGTACTTCAAATGCTAACAGGTTTGAGGTAGCTGGTCAAAAAAAAAAACAGGTTTGAGGTATAAATTTGTTTTTAAAGTTTTCGTTTAAGAGCATTGAGTATTTAGAATTTTTTGAAAGCAAATTTGACCCAAAAATTTAAAATCGTAATAATATGCACCCTGTCGTTAATAATATTAACAATTAATATTACTATTTTAATGGTTAACTTTAGTTTTTTAACGGCAAAAGATAATATTGCTACGATTTTATATTTTTAGGGGTAAGCTTGCTCCGAAGAAAACCTTTGGATATCCAGAATTTCTGGGTAAAAGCTTTAGGGACAAATTTTCACCTTAATCCATAAGAATAAAAAGATGAATAAAGATTAAAAGTGTGTCCTAACTCTATATAAACAGATGTGAAAAATTATAATTAATTACAAAACCCTAGTTGATGGTGGTGATTAAAGAAGAGATAGAATTTGGGGATAGTGGAGTATTAAAGGATGGAGGTTGCAATGTTCAGACTATCTTTCTCTTATTACAAAGATTCAGAAGAAGATGAAGGTTAGAAATTTGGAAAGAGAGAGAGAGTAAATGAAGAAGAGAGAAAGGGAGAGAGGATAAGGTGTGATTATTAGGTGTGAAAAATCAGCATGTATGTGGCTGCCACGTAAGCAATTAGAGTCAAAATTGGATACTCTTTTGTAAAAAGTCCTAGGGCGTCTTAGAACCTTAACCCTTGTTACAAATATTTGGAGTGGAGTGCTTCAATGCTTTCGTCAAAGTTGTTTCTTATTGGGCTTTGGGCGAGCATAACTAATTTGTGTTTTCTCTTTGATTTCTTCATATTAGTGATAAGTTTTATTACTTGTCATATATAATTGTCTATTTTAGGTTGAGTTAGAGGTTGTTGAACATTGAGAGTATAAAAATCGTTTGTGTTTTTCTATAATAAATTCTAGATTTTGTTCATTCTTCAGATTTTATGTATCACCCTAGACTAGAGTATGTGCTTCATTGGTCATTGTAGGCAGTTAAAAAGGTCAAAAATCAAGGAAGTCAATGCTCTACATGAGGCATTGCGAAGAATTGGCAAATGTGCTATGAGGATCTACCTTCTAAAGGACTCGACTCATTATAAATCAAACAGCATCATTTTGGTTAGTTGTCACAGCACACGGAAGGATTTGCCGCGATCCATGAGTAGAAATTTTGAGTTTAAATTCTAGATTACGTGTGCAGAAGGAGAGTTAGCCATTTCTCACCTCATACTCTAATTACTCCGTCCTCATCCCTTCCCCCCCCCCCCCAAAAAAAAAAAAACTTCTTCACCATTTTTTATCATCAATCCATCATCTCCACCCCATTTCTATCATTTTTCAAATCTCTTCCATTCCTCCATTTATCAAGCTGCCATGGCTATTGGAGTTGCTAAGCGTGGTGAAGTTGTAATTTCGATCATAAGAAGTTAGATCATGATTTCTTGATGTCCAAATAAACTAGCTTGAGTCCTTGGATCTAATTTTGTAGTTTCTTCTACTTTATTTTTGGTTTCACTTGATCGTAACTATGAACTATCATGCTAGGCTGTTAGATTATGATTTGTGGTTGTAATTGAGTTGTGATTTGGTTGATTTACATTGAGACTAAGCTTTGGATCATGTTTTGCACTTAAATTTATTCATTGAATTGTTATAATCTTTTGTTGTGTTAATTCTTTCACTCAAGTGTTTAAAGGCCTTGATTATCTGGTTAGGGTGCTTGTATTGTTAATTAAGAGTGAATAATTCCTTTGCAAAACTTAATTCATGTTAAACATTGAGATGGATCTGAAAAGTTAGAGCTCGAGCTCATTATGTTCATTGTTTAGAGAATGTTTCTTCACAAATCTTCGCTTAACAAAGGAGTTGAATTCAACTAAAAGTGGAACTGAAATAGCTAGTTTATTTGGCCATCAAGGATATTCATCTCATTGCATTTCATCCTTATTCATTAGCTTAGAAATTATAAAGAGTAGTTAGTTTTGTTCAGATTCTAATTACTTCTTCAGATTCTAATTACTTCACTTTTGCCTAACATACTTCATACCTTCATTTGCTAAATTTGTTATTTGCATATCGATTGCTAAGACATCCTTAGGCTTCTTAAAGAATTAACCTAGGTTAGTGACACTGCATTGCATCTAGTTTAGTTTTAGGAAAAATTGTAAATAAAGACCCCCAATATATAAAATGACAATTAGGGACCCTGAATTTGAAAAATTGCTGCAGAGGACTTGGTCCCAATTTGCAATTACGAAATGTGTGTTAAATGACTGAAATACCCTTATGCTTTTCATATCCCTTTCTCGTTTCGTCCCTTCTCTCTCTCTCTCTCTCACTGCCTCTCTGTCCACATCTGTCTTATCCTTGAACCACTCCCTTGGGCCTTGGCATCACTCCCTTCGACCACCATAGCCACCCTTTCTCTCTAGGCATGAGCTCCGCCCCAGTAAATAAAAATTTGCAATTATAAAGAATATATAGATGTTACTTATTTGTTAAAAAAAAAATTAGTTTCATGGTCTGTTTCTATCCTCTCTCTGACGGCACTCCCTGGTCACCCAAATCGCAGAAAGCATTACTTGCAGACTTGGCTTCATTGATTTGGAGTGCATATAAGGTTTTTGTTGTGCCTTCTTTAGGAATTCCAGTTCTTTTTGAGAATCAGTAATTAATAAGCGACTCCATGCATGTATATGGCTTTGGGGCGAAGGATATCAATGGTTTGGATTGGAAATCTATTTAGAAGACGTTCAAGGACGAGTTTGATGATAACAGCCTCCTGTTAAATGACTAGTCTTTGTGTTTAAGACTTACCAGGTTGAATATTAACTGCCCAATTTGCTGGTTTCCTATTTCAAGGTCGCCTAATACACTTTCAGGTTCTTGTTTGATAACTAGACGCTGATAGTGAGCGAGTGCTTAGAATTAGGGGAGCCGTTGTTGTTGAAAGCATTTAGAATTATTAGTTAATAAGTTTGTAATTGTTAATTAACAAGTTAATTAAAATAATAAGTCTAGCATTGCTATTTGGTATCCAAGATTTATTAGCAGCAACTAAATTGTAAAAATAATGTTAATTAAACTAGTTATTTCTAATTATAAACTTATCAAATTCTTATACTAAACTTGTTATTTCTAACATAAACTTGTCAAATTCTTATACTAAATTTATTATTCCCAACTACTTAACAAACTTGTTATTTTTAATTATAAACTTGTCAAATCTTTATACTGAACCTGTTATTCCTAACTACTTAACAAATTTGTTATTTTCATTGATAGACTTGTTATTTTTAATTGTAAACTTGTCAAATCTTTACATTGAACTTGTTATTCCTAACTATTTAACAAACTTGTTATTTTTATTGATAAACTTGTCAAATTCTTATATTAAACTTGTTATTTTCAACTATTTATCAAACTCGTTATTTCTAATATAAACTTGTTAAATTGTTATGCTGAACTTGTTATTCTCAATTACTTAACAAACTTGTTGTTTTCAATTATAAACTTATCAAATTCTTATACTGAACTTGTTATTTCTAGTTACTTAAAAAATTTGTTATTTTTATTTATAGACTTGTTGTTTTTAATTATAAACTTGTTAAATTCTTATACTGAACTCGTTATTCCTATCTACTTGACAAAGTTGTCATTTTCATTTATAGACTTGTTATTTTCAAATATAAACTTGTCAAATCTTCATATTGAATTTGTTATTCCCAACTACTTAACAAACTTGTTATTTGTTTTAATAAACTTGTTATTTTCAATTATAATCTTGTCAAACCATCATATTGAACTTGTTATTTTCAAGACAATACTTGTTATTTCAAACAAACTTATTATTTTCAATTACAAACTTGTTAAATTCACATATTAAACTTGTTATTTTTAAGTAAAGATTTGTTATATTAACTAATTTGTTATTTCTAATTACAAACCTATTAACTAATAACTTAGTTAAAATAAACAAATCTTTACTTGAAAATAACAAGTGAATATGAATATTTATTTAAAGGAATGATGTTGTTGACCGAAGTGCAATCTTAAATCTTCCATTGCATAAATATGGAGTTTACATATTATTTACTTTGAATGCACGATAGAATGCATAGTTAGTAATGAGTTAAGGAATATGCTCTTTATCTATGACTCATTAACAGAGAAATTCTCTTCTCATTATTTACATCCAGTACAAAGAAGCACACTATTTACAATCAAGTGAAGCCTGCAATTTTCCTTCTCCAGATCTCTAAATCCAATGGTTACTCTTTTGCCCAGCACATAATACAATATCACTCTTTGTTCAATCACTCCCTTGTCAGAGCACTGATTTTTGTCATATTGGAATTTTGCTTTTTAATAAAAAGCAAGTTTCTACTGGAATTCTGCTTCAAAGTTGATGAGATCACCGACTTTGGCCACTCTCTTCCACTCTAAAAGATGAGAATTAGCAAGTCATCCGGGGGGAAAGAGAGATGAGAATTAGCAGACAGAATAAAACATCTGATGTATATAATTTCTATCTTGTAAATATGACTCACTTGATCTGCACCCACAGCTCTTCAAAGAACAAAAAATGCAATATTTGTTGTACCAATCTCAATTTAACACGTTTGCAAGTACCAAATCATATTAGCCAACCAATTGAGAACAAAATACCTGACAGGTTTCTCAATTTATAACTGCATGAAAAACACCTCCGGCATATATCAATGTCAATTATGAACCGTCAAAAATGTAGATCATTCATGGTCAAGAGTTTCATAGTTTTAAAAAAGAGGGAACTTACTGCTTCATGGAAATCTCGAGCTGCAAAGTGTTGGTCCTTGACGATATTGTTGGCCAAGGATTTCAAACATCTCACAGAAAGCAAATGAGAATCATATATCTGCATAGCTTGATCTAGTGTTAGAAAATGAATCTAAAATTTACTGTAAATTAATTACGAAGGAAAAAAATTCACAAAAAGCAGGCATAAAAATGCACTTTGCTTGAAATCCACACAGAGATAAGCCCAAATGATTGTAAATTGCAGAGATTAAAAATATATCAGCAGAAAGGTTTTAAGATTACCCCTTAGGCTGGCATTTTTCTTGCAGGAGAAAACGACTCTCCTTTCAACTCTTACCACTGAATGTTGAAGAAGAAGAATCAACCTCTCTTTCCTCTCAGATCTGGTCGCATCCTCTGGTTTCGTCAATTTGTCCCTCTCACCCATGATGATGAAGACGATGAGGTCAGAACATTTTGGAGGATCTTGAAAGACAAAAACGGATTGGAAAAGAGGCGAAGAGGGAGAGGGATACAGTGGGAGGGATAGTAACTGCAAGTATGATTTTAGGATATGGGTTTGTGAGGACGAAGCAGAGCAGGATATGCAAAGCCGGTGGCTATTTTTGTCTTTTAATCAACATTTCATAATTGCAAATTGGGACAGGGTCCTTTGCAGTAATTTTTCAAATTCAGGGTCCCTGATTGTCATTTTATATATTGAGGGGTCTTTATTTACAATTTTTCCTTAGTTTTATTTGGTAGTCCCACAACATTAATTGGGCCAAGCCATGAAAGAAGAGAAAGGGTCTTTGGGGGTGAAAGTTTCTGAAACCGTCAAAAAGGTCTATTAACTTATGTGTTATTTTATTTGCTGTTTGGAAGATGAATAGCTTGTCTACCAGTGGGAGAGTGGTTTTAGCAAAATCTGTTCTTAGTACAATACCATTATACCCTATGCAAGTTGCCAAAATTCCTATTTCAATTTGCAATGAAGTGGAAAAACTTCAAAGGAATTTTATTTGGGGATGCAAAGATAATGGAAGAGGTTTTCATCAAATTGGATGGGAAAAAATAACACAGCCTAAGGACTATGGAGGGCTTGGCTTTAGAAAGTTACATTCAGTTAATAGAGCTTGTGGTGCAAAATTAGCATGGAAGCTTATTACTGGATCAAAAGGCATATGGGCAGAGGTGCTGCAGAATAAATATATGCTGCATAATGAAGACAATCTTCTTACTGCCAAAAGGGGGGATTCACAGTTATGGAAATTTATCTGTCAACAAAGGGATATTGTGGAAGCTGGAACTAGATGGAGGATAAGGAACGGATTGAGTGTCAATTTTTTTGATGACTGCTGGCTTCCCAATGGGAAAAGAATCAAAGATTTTTGCTCAAGACCGCTTACAAATACTGAGCAACATTCAACTGTTGCTAATTGGGTATTTAATGGTACGTGGGACCTTGATAAACTAAAGGGTTTGGTGAATAATGAGGTAATTTCTTTGTTGTTAGCTGTTATTCCTCCAATGGCTAATTTTGGCAATGATGTTATGGTGTGGAGTGAAACAAGTCATGGTCAATTTTCTATAAGAAGTGCTTATAATATGATTGAAAAAAATAACCCAATTTTTTATAATGCTACCTACAACCTTATATGGAAGTGGAATGGAGCTGAGAGAATTAGATTTTTTATGTGGTTAGTGTTTCATAATCGGCTGCCTACTAATCTGTGGAGGAGCAAGTGGTTACAATGTTCTGCTAATTGTGATTGGTGCCAAAATGAGGTTGAAAATACTCTCCATGTTTTAAGAGATTGTAGTTATGCAAGAAAACTATGGCTTGCTATATTAAAACCTACTGCCCATCAACGATTTTTTTCGGCTACTCTTACTGATTGGGTTGCTATGAATCTAAAAAATAACTTTGGCAATGGTCTAGACGTAGAATGGAATATTATGTGGGGAGTAGCCATATGGAAGCTTTGGCAGTGGAGGAATGAATTTATTTTCAACAGTGCTTTTCGTAAGCCACTCAATCCTGCTTTATTTGTTCTCAATATGTGGTCCTCCTTTGCTGGTAAAAGAGTCGTCGAGAATCAGCCTGGTATTAACATCCCTAATAAACTACATTGGCAGCCGCCGCCGCCCACACTTTTCAAGCTAAACTTTGATGGTGCAAAGTCCAATTCATCTCAGTTGGCAGCTTGTGGGGGCCTTATCCGAGATCATGATGGCACTTGGGTTGTGGGATTTTCTTGTTATCTTGGTGTTTGTTCTCCCCACGAAGCTGAGGAATGGGGAATGTTAAAGGGTCTCAATCTAGCAATTCAAATGGGATTCAACAATCTTGTAGTGGAATCTGATAACCAGAATTTAATTCACTCCCTCACCAATTGGTGTTCTCACTTTACAACTTGCTCGACAACTTTGCTAGAGGTAAAGAGGTTGCTTTCTTTACTGACAGAAGTTCATCTTCAGTATGCTCCTAGGAAGTGTAATATCATTGCAGATGCTCTGACCAAGATGGGGTTTACTAGCACGGCCATCTATGACACAGCTCCTCCTAACTTGAGGACTCTAGTGCAGAAAGATTTATTGGGATTTCAATCCCCTACTAGTTAGTTTTCTCTTTTAGGCTTTTTGCCTTCTTGTATACCAAAATATATATATATATATACAAATTTTTCAAAATTTATACTATGTGACTAATTAAGGTTCAAATTCTTGTTAGGGGAGGTATTTAAATTTAATATTTGACAATATCTTAAACATGATTGCTTCTAATAGAAGATACTTGTGCCTAAAAAAAATCAATAAATTTTAGGTCAGTTAACATTTTAAAGTTTAAGTTTAATCCTCTAATTTTTTTTATTGTTTTTATCATGAACGCCTTATCATTAAGTTATTGTAATCTTTGTGATAAATATAGCTACATCGCATTAATAGAAGCCAAATTTGTTTAGAAAGTTTTCTATTAGGCATAATTGATATTATTACTTTTAATTAGGACAATATTTTTCTAAGGGAAAATGATAGATAAAGAAACCTAAAATTAGGATATCCCAATTTAGGAAGTTAAAGATTGTAAATGACAGAGAAAAAGTTATTCCCAAATTAAAATTTTAAAATTTAACAAAAATGACAAAAATGCCCCTTTGTTTTTTTTTTTAAAGGTTCAACCCCTTGTATGCGACAGCAACTAGCTGGCGCCCACCAACAATGACTGGACAACAGTGCCGGCAGAGTGTTTTTTTGGACAGATTTTTTTTTGTTTTTTGCCATGTGAGAAATTATTTAAAGAAAGTGTGGAGGTGGGATGTGATCCCACTACCTTTTAGTCATTTGGGCCAACAAAAACAAAGGTAACCATTAGACCACCAATTATTTATTAACCTTATAATGCCAAAACAAAAAAGTTCACTTTTTTATTGTGACTCTAACATGTGATAACAATTTATCTAGAAATGATAAGTCTTGATTAGAAAATAAAACGTCTAAATTTTATATTAATAAAATATTTTTTCTTGATACATAACAGGAAATAACATGTGTATTAATTAAAAATGATAACAATTTATGTGAAAATGACATATCTTGATTAAAAAATAACAAGTCTAAACTTAAAATTAGTAAGGTGTTTTTGCCTGATACATACATAACATGAAATAACATGTGAATTAATTAAAAATGATAATAACTTATCCGAGAGTCCCATTATTTATTTCTTTTTTTGTTTTTTTGATTGTTGTTGTTTTTGAGTCTTCATAAACGCAAGAATGAGATAACAAAGGGCGAAGTAAACACAACCGACAAACGGAGGGTGCACGCTTGGCACTTATTCTCTAAACCGCATCATATTGATAATTAATTTAAAATTATTATATTTTATAAATTCATATTTTTAATAATTTCTTATTATTTAATAAAAGTCATACCCATCTTGGTCATTCTATAAACTAAACTTACTTATTCAATTATAATTCAAACAACTTTTTTACTTTACAAACTAACTTTTATAAAAGTCAATCCAAATATAAATCACATTGCCCAATCTAACTTTTATCCAATTTCACTTTTCTAAAAGTCAAATTGAAAATAAGTTTTTTTTTTACCGCTAATCCAAATAAACCCATCATCTTTCCATTACCCAATGCTACATGTAGAGCCAAGAAAACAGGTCAAGCCTATTCAAGTCGAGGGCTAAGCTCATGATTTGGATCTTCAAGGGCAAGCTGAGCTTAAAAGGGCTAGCCCTATAGGGCCTAAAATCAAACAGACTGGCCTGCGGCCCTATGGGTCAGTTCGTTTAAACCTGCTAACAAATTTTTTAAAAAAGTTTTATATTTTTTCTTACCTTAAAAAAGAAAACTAGTTGCATGGATATGCATTTTCTTTTCTATATTTTTTCCATTCTTCCAATTAATCTTCAGGCTCTCGTTCATGCTAACAACTAATTGCATGGTTTTGCATATCGAGGTAATTCACTCAATTATAAGTGAATTACAGTTATTTATGCTTTTAGTTGTTTAACTTGTCTAGGATTTTAGTTTATTATTTGTTGCAGAGAATGCATGTGATATTAATGGAGGACAAGAAATCATTGAGATTTTTAGAAGTTAAGAAGAATCTGTTACTAGTAAAACACAATCAAATGTCCTTGTAATTGATGATAGTGATGAAGAAGTTTTAAAAAAATGATCAAGCTACTACCACCTATATGATGTTTCTTAATGTGAACTTGGTGCTTGTTTAGTTATTTATGTCTATCTTTTATTTAATTTGTCTATTAAATAGACTCTATTGCACTATTATCAATGTTTTGAATGTTTACATATGATGATGTCTATATCTGCGACTTAATTTCATTCATATTTATACTTTTTACTAGTAATTTTATTGTTTTATTTTCATTATTTTGATAAAATATGCAATAAATATATGAAATTGCATTTTTAGTTAAACAGGCCAAAAGCCTGCAAGTCAGTCCTGAGCGCCTCAGCTTAAGGGCCGGGTCTAAGAAATTCACCTATTTCTGAGATTCTGAGCGCTTCAGCTTAAGGGCTGGGTCTAAGAAATTCACCTATTTCTGAGATTCTGGCTTAAACGGGCCTACCTCTTTAAACCTGAGCCTATAACGGGCCGGCCCGTTTTCCCAATGCTAATTGCATGGCTCTTAAAATGTTAAGGTTTGTGAAGATATGTCAGGATTACGAGGACCTGCAACGCGTTTACTCTGGTTTTGCAGTATTGCATTGATAGCATGTTCTTTTGGCTTTTCTTGATGGTTCTGGCAATGATAAGACGTAGTAATGTACTGTTTTGGATGCATGATTATTAGACTAAACTTATAATCAGTAGTGAGCAATTGAGTGCATTGAAAATAATATTAATTACCATCGGATGGAATATCATTCTGATAACGTGTGGATCTGATTTTCAAACTTTCATCTTTTCCTTTCATTCAGTTCAGAAGTAGTATAAATAGGTGGCCAGACATTGACATAGATGCTTTCCCTTTGGTTTTGTTAGCTTAGCTCTCAGGATAATGTAATAACTAACAAAAAGTGTTGCAGTATCAGTTCATGTATTAATTTGCTGATTGCTGAGGATATATTTGTTTTATCAAGGAAATCAATGTGACCATGACAGGGTGATCTCACAGTTGTTAGCTTGATAGATCACCATGTCATTAGCCAAAGTATCCTAGAGGTATGTGTATTAGCTCTCACATAGATCATACTTTAGGTGCAAGCTGCAGCAAGTTCAGCCATGCCTTCACATACTGGTTGTGAATATCAGGTTGAACTCAAGCCCAAGACTCCATAGAGTTTTCGGATCTTAAGCTGTCAGAATTTATGATATGTGCAGAAGTTTAGCGATGTGTTGTTGATTTAGTCTTGGGTTGATACAAACAGCTTACTTGAGGATATTTACTCCATTATGCAGTCAGTTTTAAAAATCATATTTGCCTTGAAATGCTTCTTGAATCTGTTTACTCAATCCATCTAATTATGATCTTCAATATTTTAGTTTGTGGATTGATACGTGGTGTTTTCAACGTTCATTGTAGCATTGACATCTAAATTTTAGTTCAGATATCGAAAGTATTTAAATATTTTAGATGTTTGACATCCAAAAAAAGGATTACTGTGGTCTAAAATTCCCGATCTGTTTACCGTAATTTCAAGTAATATAGTATGTGCGTATGTTAAAATAAAGTAATCCATTGCATTTTAAAAAAATGAGTCTACTCAAATTCTAATGTAGAACAAATGCTGCAATATTTAATGATTAATGAATAATATGTTACTCGTCCGATCCTAAATATAAGACTCATTTTATAGTGTAATTTACACTGTAAAATGGATCTTACATTTAGGACCGGAGAAGTAATATATTAGTTTTCTTATTTAACTTGGGTTTCTTTTTCTTAATTTTTCTTTTTTCTCTTAATGATGCTTCAATATAAGTGTTTTAATGATGTTTCATTTTTTGATATAGACACCGACATAATGGGTTTTGATTTCTGAAGAAGTACTCAATCCATCTAATTTATGTAGTTGATATTGATTAGGCAGTCTTGAAATTTTTTTTTTTTCCCCCGTTTGTTCAGTTTGGACTTTCATTTTCAAATGCTTCATGATTTTACACACAAATTGGCAAGCATAAATTTATAAGGACGGTGTATGATAGGAACACGTTGTTCATAAGTCCTGTTCTTTTAGCTGAATTTAGTTTCATCATGCATGGAAGATATTATTTTTGTTCAATTTAGTGTTGAATCCTATTTCAGTACGAACTAATTTTCGAATTTAGATCCAATTAATTACACCGATGATTGGGGAGCGGGGATTAATTTTTGCTGCAGCAAATGAATATCATGAAAGTTAAGGTAATTCGGTAGTTGAAGTCAAAATGCAGGCGGTGGCCACATGCCGCTGCCGACCACTTCCGCCTCACTGTGAGTGATATTTTGTAATTTTATACTCATCCAGTTTTAAATATAAGACTTATTTTTTAATATAATTTTCACTACAAAGTAGATCTTATATTTAAAACTAAAGGAGTAATTTTTTTTATGTGAATAGCAAGTTTTACTTCATGTTTTTTCTGTTTTAAATGTGACTTTTTAAAAAATAATTATCTAAACAGATTTTTTATTTTAAAAACTTGTTTTAAAAACAATTTTATGAAATTGTTTTGACAATAATATATAAAACAAACCAAGGTTTTCCACAGCTTCAGCCATTGAAATCACTTCCCTCATTTTTTAAAAGAAAATCTACTTTTCAAAAACCCAAATCCATATCAATAGTGGAGTTTCCATTTTCATTTCTCAAATGACAAACATACCCCATGTTGTCTAGGACACAAGCCTCATGGGGTGTGAGTGTCAGCTAGACATGGTTCTGCAAGTTAATTAACATGAGCCTCTGATTTGAAGACCTCCGCATTGTCCTCTGCATCACTGCATGACAATACTACAACAGGCTTCCAAACAGTGACTCTCAATGAGGGCATATGTATGTGCTGGGCGCCCTTGGTTTATACTGAAAGTTGAAACATGACTTTACAAAGCAAGCCTTACAATTTAAAAGGCAAAATCAATCTGCAAATACTTACATATTGGCACTTCGAACATGCGAGGAAGCTTGGGCTTTACTGGAATATGCGAGAGCTCGAAACCCTGATTGGTCACAAGGCTACAAACAAAAGGTTTACTAAAAACACTAATTCAGCTATATAAATTTCATACAAGAGCACTCATTTACGTTTTTGTGGAAGAAGAATGAGAAGAACTGTTCTTTATAAGAATATTTCAAATCTAATCGCATATTAATTAAGCTGCATTTGAAATCTAATCGCACCTAAATACCAGATGATGCATCTTTCTCTAATATCCGCATGCTGTTTTCTGCCTTGTTGAATTTATATCCTTCTTTCAATCACCATTTTCCATTCAACATTTCATAATCTTGTAATGCATCAGAATAGATACTCAAAACTCCTGAACAAGGAAAAGCAAACTAGACAGAAACCAGAGCCTGAGAAGAAAAATGCGAACCTATAGTGAAAGAGAGGAAAAGAGAGTCGTGTGAAAATTGAAGAGGATAGTGAGAAATGGACAGAATGGTACTTGTTCAGACGCTCTCAATTATAGATATAGAGAGAGGGAGGGGCTGTAGAGGCAGAGTAAGAAGTATAAGTGCTTTGCAATCGAAGTAAATTTGTGGGTACAACCTGGCTAGGAGAAACTAACAATCAATCTCAATTGCTGAATCCAAGAAACTAGAAGGCAACATGGTTCCAACAAGCTTACAAGGCGTTTTATTTTCTAATTTTTGCGCAATGGTGAATAAAATTTCTCACATATATGAATAAAGGAATCAATGTACAAGTGATGACTCCAAAACATCAAAACTGAAAGAAACAGGGTAAAAATACTAGAAGGCACGTTGAATAATAATTAGCATAAAAATATAAAATACTAAATTACAGCAAGTTGAATTGTTCACGAGTTATGAACAATACGACTTATTCTTCAACTTTGTGTAATGTACAAAAAGCCCACTAGTTCAAATTATTGACCTAAGTATTAAAAAATATCAATTGTGAACTAATCACCAGCCTAGAGACAAACTCCTGCAACAGAGTTGCAAAGAACAATGAAGTTGCAGAAGTGTTTTAATGGAAGCACACTCCTCATACGTGAGATAAATGCCAGAAACGATAAAATCTCGAATGTTTTAAGTGGTGAAATTCATCAGCAGGCCCACCTTGGTACCGCCCGTTCTTTGCACCAATTGTAGAGGCAACAATGTCAGTAAGAATTTCTCCTTTTAAGAAGGACACAGGTAGGGGCTTAGCATGTGTGCTGCTTGCCACTGTCTTTTGGTTCTCCCAGAACAAATTCAGCGTACAAATCCTTCAGAGCAATCATAACTGTAGTTATCAATGGCCCCATAATTGCACCCTGAAGAACAGCATACTCGTTCAGTCAATCCAACAATGCCACGAGACTTTAAAGCAACCATAAAAGTTCGCTAGGAGGCTGAACCAAACATAATGACTATGGGATCAAATAAAAGCATAACCCTTTGCTATTATGCTTTATGTTCTGATGACATGAGAAATTCAATTATAAGGTTCTTATCATATAAGATACTGGAGCAATCCTTCGGGTTTTGTCCTAATCTATGGAAATAAACTTATTTGGCTAACTGTTACTTGAGAGTTAATTAATTCTACAGGTCTTGCCGAATCTCTAGCTAAAGTAGATTATAACATAGAAAAGTTCTTTTTCTGCAAGCCAATGCAGGCATCTAAAGTATATGGTTTTTACAGAGACCTACAGCATTTCCTTTGTTCTAAAAATAAATGAGTGGTTTCATGATTTAAATACGATTGACTTTTCAATTTAATCCTCCAAATTGTAGCCCTTTCAATTTACCTGCTCAGTAAGCTTTCCTCATCATTTTTCTCCCTCTGGAATACTAGGTTAGAAAGTTATTTGGTGAGATTATAACAGAAGGAGTGGGGAAAATGATTGGGGAAAATTATCATGAGAGTCAATTGAAAGGTTTACATTCTGAAGAACTGAATTTAGATGTTAGTCGTCTTTCAAGACTAAATAAAGAGAATAGCAAGTTACCTCCAGAGCAGAGGGAAACAGAGTCATTCCTCCAATGATGCTAAGCCCAGTAAGATATGCACTATGCCCTGGTATATCTTCTAATATTTCAGATGCACCATAATCCATGAGGAACAGGTGAACAGCAGACAAAATAATGGCCTCTATGTATCTTCCTTCCAGCAACAGTTGCATAGCTGCCGGAATTGTAGCAAGCCAAGATGGGAATACCGGTAGCAAAGGACCTGTGAAGGCAAGAATAGTTGACATGTACAAGAAATGAATTCCGTATAGCCTAAATAATAGCCAAGTGAGACATCCTTGAAAAAATGCAATCTCAGCAGTAGCTAAAAGGACTCCTGAAATAGCTTTATCCAGAACTTCAACACATCTGACCCTAGCTGAGGTTGAAATAGGAACCATGTGCATAATTTGTTCTGTCACCCCACCTGACTCTGATGTTATGAGATAGTACAAAACCCAGAAGAATACCATTAACTGAGACACAAAATTGAAAACCTCGGCAGCTCCAGAAATAATGGAATTGAGAATGGAGAACATGACTTTTGCACCACTTCCAAGCACAGTTTTACCGCTAGCAAGCACGCGTTGAGATACATCCATTCCCTTGACAGCAAATACTTTTGCCTTCTCAACCAAGTCCTCCCTTGTGATTATGAGTTCTCTCCAAAGAGTAGCGAGCTCTGTGTAAATCATGCTCCATTCTCGATTTTTAACCCGAGTCCTTAGACTCAGAAACTTGTCTGTATATGCTGAGGGTGTCTTCGGGGCTGTTAAAGTTATTGAAGAGTTAGCTGAATTGCTTATAGCAAAATACTTAATACCAGTCACAAGCTCCGTCATATTGTATTGCATCGCCAATACATCTATCTGATCAGAAACTGTCTCATAAAACTTAGTACTGTACCGATCTACCAATTCAGGAACATCATTCTCATCCATCCACTTCTTGACCCCAATCCTCTCAGTAAAATTGCTCTCTTCTACATGTAGTTTCAGTGAAATCACTGCACCTTTTCCTTCGATCCCAATCTTGTAGGAGAAGAATATCATCCCAGCCAAAAACCCAATTATCATACCAACAATCAACCCAATTGCTACAATTGTTTTCAATCTTTTCAGTACCCCTCGCGTGAAAAAGGCAGTATGCCACATGCCACTGCTCTTAAAGGAAGACGAAGTCGACAAAACTGAATCTACATTTTTAGAGCTAAACAAGAAACCTAATCCTAGGAGACAGAGAGAGGCAAAACCACCAAGCCTTTCATATGCAACAACGAATATGCCAAAGGACACAAGCAAACGAAGTAAACTAGAAAACCCACTGCGTTTCCTCCTCGGGTTCTCAGATTCTCTTGATTTTCTGAGAAGAACTCGCAAAAAAGCTTCACGAATTTCAGCAAGCGTACTAACTACAACTCTAAATATGGCCACAGGAATCGCTAGAAACGTCTCTGTGACGCCTAATTTCAGGGGCTCCGACCAGAACGAAACAAGGGTCTGCTGGATACCCCTTAAAGGTATGGAACAGAGCACAGCCCACTGAAGAGGCCTGAGATATCCTTCCAAGAGCTTGTACGCAGCGTAGACTACAAAAATAGCAAGGGCGATTCCAGCATGAGCCATGGCTATGTAGAGAGCGAGGCGTACCTGGGGATCACCGGAGTGGGTGGATTTCTTTTTCGGCTCAGCGGCATTTGGCGGCGAATCTGCTTGTGGAGTAGCCAACGGTTCCCTGATAGAAGCGGACCGGAACATATCCTGCCATGCCAGACTATCGGAGTTGGGGTCCGGGTAGGGAACAAGCTCCATTTTTGAAGATGGAAAGACAAAGATTGAAGATTGAAGATTGAAGAGTGGGGACGAGAGGCAGAACGAGGGTCAGAGAAGGGAGAAGAAACAGATAACATTCTGGTGAAAGAATTGGTTGACTACATAAAACCATGACGATGACAACGACGACGAAGGCCAATGATCTGTGAGCGTTTTGTTTTGGCGTGGAACTGTAAAACTAGAATATTGAGACGTATTCGGTTACACGAAAAGTAGGGCCACTTTCGAATCGATGCTTCAGTTTCGCGCTCGATCACATGGCCGCTCTCCTTGGAAGAAGCAAATTGATCGTCTTTATTTTAAAATAAATAGCTCAATTTTAAATTTAAATTCATATATCTATAAGGAAAATTTTTTTAAGAAGATATTTAAATAATCCAAGGTTCTTATTTAGGTTATTGAATTTATCAAAACCTTGAACAGGTTACATAACTCAAAAAGGGATTTTAAAATTTATGAAATCACTTTAACACCTTTTCATTAGAAGCATAGAGAAATGAGGATTTTCTATCATTCTGGTATTACATAAGAGCTCTTAATGAGGAAAACTTAGTGTCTATCATTACAAAATCAAAAAATCAATCATGAAGGTAACTATGAATTAGTTTTTATATTAAATTTTCCTCCCTTCATCACATGTGTCATAGCGATAGAAATTTGTTAATTAGAATTGAAACATGTTAACTACGAGATGAAACGTGTTAATTTTCAAAATTGTATCGTGATAAAATTTTATTCAAATACTTATTTCAAGTGTATTATAAAAACAAAAAGTTGTTAATTTATAATTAAAACGTGTTAACTGTAAAACAAAACATATTAAATTTTTAGATTGTATTATGATTAAGTTTTAGTCAAGAACTTATTGCAAGTGTTATGGTGACAAAAAATTATGAATTTAGAATTCGTGTTAATTGCCAAGTGAAATATGTTAATTTATTTATAAAAAAGGGCATTAGAGTTATTTCATAAAATATTAAAATTCATCTTTTGATTATGTGACCTAATTAGGAGTTTATCAAGATTAATAACCTAAATATGGATTTGAGCTATTTGAATGTCTTTTTAAAAAAAAATTCCTATATATAACGGTAAAAATAAAAGGGAAAAATTAAAAAGAATCTAATGAAGAGATCATAAAAATGCAACTATTTAAAAGAATTAATAAAATATTAATTTACCCATAATATACCAACTACATTCATTCTTTCAATCTCTCCAATACACTGTTTTAAAAATCATATCAATTTTATTTTTCACCGAATGAGCATACTCCTTATCAACCAGACTAAATTTTTTGGTGCTGGGATTACTTCTTATTTATCATTGCCTCTTAGATGGTCAGTACGAAAGATGTATTTGGATGGAAACTAAACCATGATTGTAAAGTGATTTTATAGTATACAAGTAAATATATGGAGGAATTTGTCTCGATTTACGAAGAGATATCTAAACACCCTGTAAGTTGACATTAAAAGATTTTTGCAGGTTGGACCATGAGCCTAACCCCATTTTTTTGTGCTTTATTGGCAGCTAGAATATTTTTAGCAAAGTTGAACCTTTTGGATCCTAAAAGCAAATGGAGCCATTGAGAGAACTCATTGCTAAAATAGTCTAGCACTACTTTCTATAGTTAATTTAAGGGTTAATTTGACTTTTATTTTGATTCTCAATATAAGACTCCAAATTCACTTTGTCTCTCATATTTATCCAATTTTTTAGGGTAGTCATTGTAGCAGTAGTAGCTAATATACTTTTTTTTTTAATTACAAACACAAGTATGCTTGGTAAAATGCAAGATGCTGTCTAAGCAGCATTCCTTAAGCTATCATCCCCCAAGTTGTGGTCAATCACAAAACAAGATCTGCAACTGTCTGGAATTTGTTTCAGTAATTCCCGTCCCCCTTCCATCCTTTGGGTTTTTTTTGCTAGAGTATCGGCACATCCCAGTGCTTCTCATTTTGTATGTAACAGTTTGACTTACCATTGATCATACAACAGTTTTCTAGTTGTTTCAACCTCTTCTTGCAAAAGGATTATTGGGCCTCTTGTCTCACATCAAAGTATTGATTGCCTCCATTGAATCAAAATACACCCGTGATCGAGTACCATTGCCCTTGTACAGCCTAGGAAAGGCTTTGCTCTAGTTCCTCCTAATGCTGAAGAAGATGATCTTCTCATAAGAAGCTCAAAGAAGATGAAGAATGGGCCCTTGCTTTTAGGAGAAGGATCAAAATCGAATCACTGTCCACGACTGGGTGAGAAGGTCCTACCTTAGAAAAAATCTAGTTTATCTTTTGCTAATACTTTAAAAGGGGTTAATCACCAAGACAAACATTTTGATGATAAAGCTGAGAATAGTGATGACTTATCTGATGACACTCTCAAAAATCTCAGCAAGAACTTGACCAAGAGAAGACAAAACCTCCAGTGCGTATAAGGGAGGATCCTAATAGGAACTTTCCTCCTTTCCATTTTTCTGGTAGAGTGAGGAAACGGCTCTATAGAGCTGAGAAGAAAGTGGTGACTATAAAACTACTGGGAAGAAGCATTGGGTATAAAGCTCTAGAGTCTCGTCTACAATCTCAATCTCAGTGGGCTAGAAGGGGAGTAATCAACCTTATCAACATTGGTTATGGTTACTTTGTGGTAAAATTATCAAACAGAGAGAACTATTTGAATGCACTCACTAGGGGGTCCTTGGATGATTTATGATCATTATTTAACAGTGAGACCTTGGGAACCCAAGTTTAATCCGGCAAGAGCCACCATTGAAAAAGAGGCTGTTTGGGTTAAATTACCAAGAGTTTTTCTAGAGCATTATGATGAGGAGGCTTGAACAATTATTGGAAATAGAATTGACGAAACTGTCAAAGTGGATATGAATACTTCATGTCAACTTAGAGGTCATCACGCAAGAATATGTGTTCTTGTTAATATGGAAAAACAAATTATGTCTGGATTCTCTTTAGATGGGGTGGATTACTATCTTGAATATGAAGGGCTTCATGATTTGTGTAATTAATGTGGTATTTATGGACATAGTAAAGAGGTTTGTCCATTGAGGAAACTAGTAACTAAAACCAATGATGATTAGAGCAACCTTAAATAGGAGACATAGAAAGACAGGATGAATGTTGATGGTAATATCAGTGGACTTCATAACCATGAGACCTGGCATATGGTCCAAAAACCTCATAAGCAACAAAGAGGGAAGGAGAAGGGGGTGAAATTCTCTGACAACAAAATGTAGGGTTGAGATCTGACGTTCTTGTTAAGGTGGAAAATAATTTTGCATTAACTAGAGAAATTGAGAATAATGTCATACATATAGATATGAATGTGAAGAACGTACAAATTACTAATGTGGTTGCCACTACAAATCGGAATGAAAAAGTGAGGAAGGCATGGCAGCGAAAAAGAGAAACCAAGAATAATGGTTTACCAATTGAGGTGGCCCAGAATCACACACTGAACAAGTTATACAACATGAAACAGTGGGAAAACATGAAAAGAGATGTCGCGAGATGTTTAAGAATCATATAAGGAGCAACGAAATACTTATGTTGACTTTAGATGACATACCAGAGGAAGGATTGCAAATTGAAAATACTCCTAATCACACAGAAGAGGTGGGACTAAATAAACAAGCACAATATTCTAATGAACCCCTTTCTCTGCCGCATGACCCAGGAGATATTATGGAGGAAGAGGGAGATCCTATGGTCAAGGGTAATGGGCCATGTTGTGTTAGCCCAATACATGAGAATATTGTTGAGAACTTTCAGAGTGAGGAAACGGCCATTTCTGAAACGCAGTTTACTCCTCAGTGCTAACTGTCCTTCAGCCTCCTTTTCTTTAAAGCCCATTTTTTATGGATTACATCCTTTTTTAGAGTGTTAGAGGGGCTTCTGGAAAAAGCTTTTCACAAAATTTAAACATGGTGTTTAATGGGCTGAAGCCCAAAATTGTAGTCCTCTATGAAACAAAATGTGACAACGTTTAGAAACTTCACTATTTGTATTCTATGGGTTTCAATGCTCTCTCTTTCATTCCAAGTGTTGGAAGATCAAGGGGAATTGTAATGGCTTGGAGAAGTTCTGAAGTTGGGATCTCTATTTTGAAGGAAAATAGACAATTCATTCATCTAAGATGCTCTTTACCTAGGAGAATGACATTAATCTTGGTAGCAGTCCACGCAATTCCTTACTCAAGTATGAGACAAGTATTGTGGGAAGAACTAAAGGCTATTTCGTTGAATATTGTTGATCCCTGGGTAGTTTGTGGTGATTTTAATGACATTGCTAAAGCCTCTAAAAGAATTGGTGGAATGAACCAGAATGATTGTAGAATTAAATGGTTGGTTCAATGACTGGGTCTATAAATGTTGACTTTCTAATTTAGGCTTCAAAGGGCCTAAATTTACGTGGAAAGGACCCAAAATTAGTAGGATGTATAAGGCTATTTGAGCGTTTGGAACATGGTCTGGGGAATGCTATGTTCATGTCATCTTTCTCTGATTATATGGAAAAGGTATGCCCTCGAACAAAGTTCTCTGATTATAATCCTGTAGCTCTGTATCTTCAAGAACATGATAGAAGTATGTTGAAAGGAACCAAACCTTTTAGGTCTGAAGCCATATGGCTTGAACATGAGAATTTTGCTGATTTTGTTAAATCCTTGTGGCTGCATGATATTGATATTAACAAATGTCTAATTAATTTTAAAGATGCTATTCAAGACCGGAATAGAAATACATTTAGGCTTGTGGAAAAAAGGAAGAGAATTATATTGGCTAGACTAAATGGTATTTAGCAATTAAAAGCTTATCCTTTTTCAAAATTTCTGTGCAATTAGAATCTGATCTTCAAAAAGAACTAGGCGATATTCTACATTTGGAAGAAATTAAATGGTTCCAAAAGTCTAGATCAAAGTGGGTGTCTATGGGTGATAGAAATACACGGTATTATCATCTCAAGGCTCATACGAGGAGGAAATGGAATAGAGTTTTATCTCTTAAAAATGATAATGGTGATTGGGTAGAAAAGGAAGATGATTTGAAAAATTTG